TTTTTTTTTTTTTTTTTTTAATATACTTATTCTAAAGTTTCAGATTTGTTTGCTCTCATCTCTGTCCCTGACCTGACTGAGAGATTAATCATTTTTTTCCATATTGAAGAGAAACAATTCCCATAGTGCCTTAATATACTTTAAAAATGTATACCTTAAACCTTAAAAATGAAGGAAAATGCATATTGGGACAAATTAATATTTTTCCTGTGTGTAACAAAATAAAAAGGCCAAAAAAAATAATAATAATGTTCTTAGAAATTTGGAGGAGAGAAAAAAAAAGACGAAAATTAAAAGAAAAAGATATGAAAAATGTGAGCACAGGTGAAATAATAGGTATTTTAGGACTTAAGTTATCAGGAGTTTTTTGTTTTTTGGTACACTGGTGGGCAGCTAAATTCTTTTTGTTCTCAAATAGAAATGTGAACAGAATCATGTTAAAGTATTCATAGCAATGTGCTTCAGATTGCTGTGTAAATGAATACTGAAGACTTCTGTGTTCCACCGTATGTTTTTGAGAATTTGTGTCCTTTATAAACTGGTTCGGTCTTGCTAGTTACAACAAAGGTGAGACCGAAATTGAATTTGGTTGCAGCATGTACAAAAAGATGCTTTGTCCTTTTCCCAGCAGCTCAGAGCAGTTAAACAGTCCATTTTATGAAGATTAATGAAGATCCTCCGCTCTAGTCGTTAAACCTTCCGTCATCTCTTATTAACATTGTGTCTGTGTTTAAATGGGACAGAGAGGTCATGCTTGTCCATACAAGGTTCAGCTGTTGGACGATCTGTCCTCCTGAGCTTTTTGTGGCCATTAGCAGACTTAGCACTGCCCCGTGTAACAAGACCTCCAGCTAACAGCCTAGCCAAGCCAAATGGTGTCACAGCGCTCTAAAATTATCCCTTCCTGCACCTCTCGGGATGTGCCTTGAATGAACAGCATGTGGGGTGGAATTTCTAGTGGGGCAACTGTCTTTCTGACTAGCGTCACTGTAGATGAGGGGTAAAAGCTGGTGTGTCACAAAGCCTTTTCTGGTAATTGAGGTCTGGGAGGGTTACCGTAGCTGAAGGATATACCCGTGCTCGTTTAAATGGACATAAAAGCATGTCAGTGTGGATTCCTTTCCAGTTTTGGATCGAATCGATGTTGCTGCTCTTGGTCTTTATTGGGCTTCGATGTCTCCTGTCTTGGTCCTTTGTCAGTGAATTTGATGTTATTGCTTCAAGGCACATTGCAATTGTCAGTTGCTTTTTGTACGTTAGACAGTATTAAATTGTAAATGTCTATTCTTGTCCCGTCTTCTCCTGACCCCCGTCATGCCCACGTGTAGTTCCTCTTTCGGCATTCGTCCATTCAGAGAAGGGTAGTACTCTGCTAGCTGCTCTTATGTAATGGCCGACAGCTGCCCCCTGCCCCTCAGGTTTCCTCTTGGCCTCGCTCACACGCTACAGCTCCTGCTGCTTCAGCTTGTACAAGCACATGCGCCAGATAACCATGAGAGCCACGTTCCTTCTCTTATCTGTGCTCACAGACTTCTAGGGTAAAGAGAGAAGGGTCACATGGCCTCCCATTCAGTGGGTTACACCCCAACGCGCATTGAGCTGGAATGGATTTTTACTCGTACATTTTTTGTATTTTGGCCCCACACTTTTTTTTTTTCAGTATTTTTGGGACATGCAGACTGTGGACCAGCAATGTTTGAACCAGCAACACAGCACACATGTGCCTTTTTTCGTGATGACCCATTTGGAATTTGAAGACCTTGTAGCTCATCCTCTCTGGTTTCAGAATAATTTGGTGCCGTTAAATTTGACATTTAAGTCTCATGTCACACCTTGCTTTTCTAATTGTAGTTGTCTAGTCATTCCAGTTGTTCTGAGTCATTGTCACGTCTTTTCAACATCACCCACCTAACCAAAGCAAGTACTGTGCACTACACCGCATTCTCAAAACCTGAAAAAGGCCAAATTGTTTAAGAACCCAAGTCAATGAATGCACTTTACAGGCCTTGTACTCCAAAGCTAGTCATCATCACAAGCTATAAGGTGCCCCCTTTTTTTTTATATGGGGGCATCTCAGGGACATGATAAAGGGCTACCGTGTGTCTTGAGGGTAAACTCTTGTTCAGCCAACTTCCCGAAAAGTGAAACTGTTTGAAAAGTATTGTATTACTAAGGAATTTAAAATATATAAAATGTTCACTCATCAGGAGCAAGTACTCTTGTTGCAGAACTGGTTTTCTTTTTCTTTTCTTTTTTGTGTGTAAAATTATAGTTTGTATGATCTGTAGTGGTTGGCCAACAGAATCTCATCTTAATCTGTCCCTTTTTTTTTTTGATTGTGTGTGTGTGAAAATGAAAAGAAACATGCTTTTTATCTTGTCCAGATGCGCTTCACATAGATGAGGCTTGGCTCGTTTTCTTTTTTTAGTCTGTGTAAAGTATGTTTCTTGAAAGGGGAGTGTTAAAATGGGAAAACATGCTTTTGTGTTTTTGAATTCATGTTCTGTCAGATGCGCTTCACATAGATGAGGCTTGGCTCGTTTCCTTTTTGAAGTCTGTGTAAAGTATGTTTCTTGAAAGGGGAGTGTTAAAATGGGAAAACATGCTTTTGTGTTTTTGAATTCATGTTCTGTTCTTTTTATTTTCTTTGTCCCCTCTGTCAGCTGTAATTCCATATTCCCCAGTGTTACCCTTTATTCAACAGACAAAGGTGTTGGAGCTTTTGTAACGCAGCTCTGAATGCATCTGTAACTGTGTGTGCAGGGGAGGTCCATTAGATTTGGACATGCTTGTCTAAAGCGCAAGTCTTAATGAAGATTGAGCCCTTTTGCAATGTTGCAAGAAGAGTTGTGGATTTCAGCAGATTTGGTTTGTTTTCTGTGATTATTTGTTTTGTTTGTCCGTGAGGATGCTAATGATTGTGAGTTTAAAAAAAAAAGTGAAAAATGGAAGTCGCACTTATTTTGAAATAGTTATGTCGACTCTCTGATGTCGGCGTGGTGATTTATGATGTAGATTCATTGTGCCGTTTTGTTTCTCAGCACTTTTACCTCACTATAGTTTTCCTTTGGATGAAATTGAGAACAAGGAAAATGTGTATCAAGGGGAAAAATAAAGTATTGAAAGCCCATTCTTTTTCCATGTTCTTTTCTTTGAAATTAAAAATCCAGTAGATATTTTCAATTGCTATTTGAGATGGAGGAACACTTTATTCCAGTGTTTCTCGTAATGGTGGAGACTGATAGTTTAAGTGTTTGAATGATCCGGGTTCACTGAGGTGTTTATTCCCAAGGGTTCTCTGGCCCCTGTGGTGTTCGTCTCTGCTGCATTGCTCCACTGCCCTTAAAAGCACAAGTATGAATCAGCAGTCTCTGCCGCAGGCTCGAGCTGCTCTCTGTGGCTGATATAGATAGTCCTGATCTATATCCATCACATGGGCTAAAAATTCAAATCTTTTAATTAGCCTTTACTTGTACGTGTATGTGATTTTTTTTTTTTTTGTATTATTATTTTTTTTATATGTATATGTATATATGTGTGTATATGTGCTAAATGACAATTAAAAATGTTAAAAGCCTCTTTATGTACCATTTATCCTGACATTGTATTACGGTTAACAAGAAGCTGGTCATATAATGTAGCACGAGATCTGAGCTTTAAAACCTCTATCTAGCTGTGAAGGGACATTCCCTGAATGGTTTCTGCTTACAGATGGTGTTAAGGATCAGCATACTATTAAATGCATCAAACTTCCTTGTTAGTGTTCATTATTATATTTAATTAGGACTTGACATTTAAATTAAAATGATCTATTTAATAAATGTGCCTTTTAATATGTATTCTTTAATTTTTATAAGGTGGTTAGTTTAAAAAGTCTGAAAATTAAAAATGTATGTGTATATACTTAGTATTTTTATTGTTGTTGTTATTATTAGTACTTGGGTTATTTATTTTAAGCTTGGTTGTGATGCCTGGTAGAAAAAAACTGGCAAGTGGAATTCGGTTCATTACATTTCCATGGTTGCACTTAATTGTGCGCATTAACAAAATGTTGTGGGAGGAATTGTTTTTAAAGTTCACTTGGTAACATCTGGAACTCTCCCATATTCCATGCACTCAAATGAAGGGTAAAGACATGCATGTGTGTGTGTGGCTGATAATCGAAGGCCCAGGACAGTTAGTAGTGTGTTCACTTCACACAAGTCCCGGTGCTCAGTCACTGGAGGCCACTGCGAGAACAATAATGAGTGAAAATGGCTGGCAAACAATTACTGATTTCTGGAACAGTGCTGATAGAAACATGTAGAGGGAAACAATGAAAGCACAGCACAGCACAATCTTTATCTAGAGAATCCCCTCTCTCCATTCTCTTCAGTACTATCATTTATAAGAAACATATGGCTGAGAGAAAGTTCCCTGTTTGAAATGAGGGCCATTTGACTGCGCAGAGAACAGCATTTTTGTTTTGTATAAAACATGCCAGGTTTCTGTGCACACAGAGGTTATGCTGAGGAGAGCATGTGTTTCTTCACAATATTTATGCCTCTTGTCAGATCAACTTTTAATTAGTCTTAAATTTTATTTCAGTGAACCCTTACAATACTATAACAAATGAACACCGAGACTTTATTCCCACAAAACTATCAATCAAGCTGCTGTGTTCGGAGTTGTTTTCATGTTTCTGTGATTTTGAGGCAAATAGGAGATAGCAATTCTGTAATTAGTATGTGGAACGAAGAAAATGTCAGTTTCCCAGGTTATAAGTCTTATGTAGTTAATATATAATGTATGTAATGGTCACCGCTACTGGATCAGGAGCAGTTAAAAGAAAAGATAAACACATTTGTTTGACGTCCTTTATGTGATGATATGTTGAGCAGTACACACAGAGAATATTCCCATGGCGTTCTTTGTAAAGCTGTAGAGGTTCCACGGGGGTTCAGCGTGATGCTCATGTTGTGCTACATAAGCAGAAGGTGCAAGTGGCAAACTTATCAGTCCTCTGAGAAATCAAGCAGCTTAAGCAAACTGTCTGTCCTGGCCAGGAAATGGGCAGGCTGCTCAAACACTAACAGCCTGCATCAACATCTTTCAAGAGGTGCCATTTATAGGAGCTCAAGGTCCTGAGAAACAGGTGAGAGATGAAGGAAAGGATGCCAGATGTTCTTGTGGCTGAAACAGAGAGAATGAGAGATGTAGGGTGGGGTAAGGGGGAGTAAACTCTACCGAAGCTGGGTATTTTTTGACCTAGTCTGTAGCATTTCTCAGAAACAATCTTATTACACCTCCCAAAGTTCCTTTGCACCTCCCCCTGGTTTGACGGTACTCAGAAACACGCTTTTATGCTGAGTCACAAACTCCATATGATTGTCTTCAGGAAGATGGTCTCTAAAATGTGAATGCACATGCTTAAGTAACTGACAGCAGTGTGGCATGATAGTAAAAATCTATAATAAAAAAATACTTAATTATATTGTTATTGTTGTATATTACAGGAGAGACCAGGGTCTTGTCACAAAGAGTAATTTTGTTAATTGTTTACTTTTGTTAATTGTCAATTTGTTTATTTGTTTAAAGCAATCCTTTTTGTTACATTTTGTTTTTGCTGCTTGATGATGCTTAATAATCATTAATGTTTTTGATTAATCTTTTTTCCCCCATTTTTTGTGTATATACAAACATACATACATATGCAAGGTAAATTGTCACAACAAACTAGACATTGAACAGCCATATTGTGTGTGTGTGTATATATATATATATATTGTGTATATAGCAAAAAAGCATTTCATTGGCTGTTCAAGGTCTAGTTCATTGTGACAACTTCCCTTGTTGCGTGGTCAGTATGCTTTATCTTTTTTCTTGGCAATAACAGTGGAAAATTTCAGTTTCTATCAAGACTTTAAGATATGCGTGTAAACTGATGTTCAAAAATAAACTTAAAAATAAATATTGTCTGGAGTAAAAGTGTGACAGCTAACCCTAGTGTCTCCTACATGCAGTGTTTATGCCATTTTATTACTTTGAATATTTGCAATATTAATAATTTTTGCAATAAAATTTTTTTTTTTCATGAAATTGACATAAAATAAATGAAAAGATAAAAATAGAAAACTGACACAAAGCTGAGTGGTTGCAAGCAGAAACTGGACTAATAAGATACTCAACAGATTTCTGCATGCAGCCACTTCCTGCATATCTCAGTCTTTTGAACCCCTGACAACATGCAATGAGATACGGTCCGGATCTAGTTTCTAAACTTAAAACCTAATTTAATTTTTCAAATTTGATTTATATCTATGAACTCGTCCCCGATTCTGCAGGCACGGAAAGAAAACTCAGCGGTTTGGAAATTAGTTTTTATTTCATTTGCCTCGCTTTTGTGGAGTTACAACGTTAGATTCCGTATAAATGTCAGTCAGTAAAAATGACTTACTGTTTGCTTATGTCATCCCTGAAGATTCCTCATCTTGCTCTCGCATTTCAAATAAACATCTTCGCGCCAAAACATTTCGTGCGTGAACGATATCGTTTCCCAGAAACATTTACAGTCAGAATTTTACAACAAATGGATCCGTGTAGATCAGGGGTGTCCAAACTTTTCCTAAAGAGGGCCGGATTCGACGATGTGGAAACACTGGGGGGCCGGATGCTTCTACCTATATAATAAACAATGTAATATTCTGTTATGAATCAACAACCCAGAAATGTAGTAAGTGTGTTGCTGCCCCCCACTGAGCAGTGATATTCACAGCACAGTGACCCGCTCCTGCCCTCCAACTTCGCCAGTAACAGACAAGAGCAGTACAATAAACAGATGGTTTGCGCTAATCAATGCCATATTTTCAGTTCCAGCGCTGATAAAAGAGAGCGAGCGTTTATATTCATTCACCCAATTAATCATCCTGCTGCCTATAGGGCCAATCAGTCTGTTTCATTTCATACTGCTTAAACCGGATCGCTTCAGTAGGCTATATTTCTCTCTGGATCACAATGCTTTAGTTAGTGCAAAAATAAAGTCATATGTCCGGTAACATTGTGATAAAGAACCATGATATGATAATTTACATTTAAAGGAATAGTTCACCTAAACGTGAAAATTCTTCTATTCTTCTAAATTCTAAGGCAAATGTGAAAATCTTCATACTCACTATTACTACAAGGTGAACTATTCCTTTAATATTTTGTGTGCATGACTCATGTCCAAACTAACTAAATGATTGGAAAACACTTGGAACCCAGAGTGAATGCAGTTAAATTGCATGACTATATGAATTTATAGGGTAATTCATGGATTTGATTAAATGGTGACTGATGTCAGGAAGGTTATTTAAGGACAGCTCACATAAGCCTACAGACCAGCCAGTGATGATTAGGCACATTGTCATGTCTCCATTTCCCAGATCCCCCTGCTGATTCCTGATGGTGTTGTCATACTCTCTCTGATTCACAGTGTAATGCCAAAGCAACCTTGTCCAGGGGCCTCATTTATAAAATACTGCGTAGAAAGAATCCTAAATTTGATTTTACGATAATTTCTCAAAGTGCGTACGTGTGATTCATAGAACGAACGTACGCACAGAAAACGCGCGCACGCCTCTCTTTTAGATGTGAAATCTATAAATTGCAATGATCTTGAAATTGTGCGCAGCTGAACAGTTTCAGATCTCCGCCCTGTAAACAATGTCTAATTAATGTCCTTGACTTATAAAAGAGCACCTGACAATGTCCAAATCTTTTACAAGCGGTAAGAATGGCTTATATTTCCAAAAACCTGCAGCACTCGGGCAAACAAAAGTGCGTACGTCTGCTCAAACCCTGACGTGGCGCTAAGCTCTTTTCCACGTCAAAGACCGTTTTTATAAATATGAACGTTGCCGTGGATTTTTGCGTACGCACACTCTATGATCAAATCTGTGCGTCCGCACGTTTTATAAATGAGGCCACAGGTGTTTCAGTTCAGTGCAGCTCTGCTGACCCCTCAGACATGGTGAGCTCTGCTGAAGACTTATTCATTTTCTTCACCACATGCGCCGCCTCAGAGACACTGGACTGACTGCTGCCTTACCAGCGCTGCTTAAAAGATTAAAAACAAACAGCATGACAGAAATATATCATGTGCTGTTGAACCAGTCCGACTGAGAATATATGGATGGACATGAAATAGGCTGTCCACTCAATTCAACAGAGTTTTAAGATTGAGAAAGGAATTGCTGCAGCTATATGGAAAGGTGTAAGAGATATTTTACACAGACTCGAGGCTGTAAGTGACTTAAAGTGTGAGAATACGTTTGGATTTAGAACCGATCATGTAGTGCAGTAAGACAAGTTTTTTTTTCTTCAAAACAAAAATATAATGAATATAGTGATGACGTCATTACGCCGGATCTGGGTCAGCGCCGCCACAAGCTTGCGGCATGATACTGTCGTGAACGAGCGTCCACAAGTGACACAGTAGAGACGAAAATGTGGAATAAAGTCATTATTTTTGTTTTCTTTGCGCAAAAAAGTATTCTCGTAGCTTCGTAACGTTACAATTGAACCACTGATGTCACATGGACTACTTTGTCGATCATCATGGTACTTTTCTGGACCTTGAACGTGGTAGTTACCTTGCTGCCTATGGGAGGGTCAGAGAGCCCTCAGATTTCATCAAAAATATCTTAAATTGTGTTCCGAAGATGAACGAAGGTCTTACGGGTTTCGAACAACAAGAGGGTGAGTAATTAATGGCAGAATTTTTTATTTTTGGGTGAACTAACCCTTTAAAGAAAAAACACTTGAGACATTAGAAAATAAAAGGCTGCTTTTATTCGAAACCCATTTCAAAAGGCTTTCAAACTGAAAACACACTCGATTATACGTAATTAAACAAAATCATTCAATAAAGACGCCCAAACAAAGATTAATGATAACATCAAATGTTCATATTCTGTTTATTCAAATATTCCTTTCATAATTCATACGTCATACTTCATTTAAAATGGTACGAAATTTAACACAAGAATCACTGCACAGCTACACTAAGGGCTGACAAAAAAACAAACAAAAGAAAACCCAGAATTAATAATACCAGACAGCATCTGCAGTAACTACAATTATCTATTTACAGTGCTTCACTCTGAGATCAGCTCTCTGTCTGTGACATTCCTTCGGCCATGCTTGTAAATCTGCTTCAAATGAAATACAATCTGGCGCACTGCAAGATTTTAGTGTACCTCAGGTGAAGCTTCCAGAACAGTGATGTACCATATTTAAAGGAACAGAAGAAAATACTATTATTAAAAGGCTAATAGAAATCTCAACAGGCCAACCTGATTTTAGAGCTGCACAAACCAATCTTTGTGAAAGCACATCCCTTCACACACGAGGAAAAGCTGCTTCCTGTCAAACCTCAAGAAACTGTAGTGATGGTTGTTTGACACCTCAGTTAAAGCTGTAAAAGTGCTTGTGGTGGAAAAAAAAGAGAATCAAGATAAAAGCAAAACGCTGCTCCTTTTAGTGACTTTGCAGACACAGAATGACATGAAACAACAAAACAGTTTAGGCAGGAAAATATGAGGCTTTCAGATGATTGGATGGCCAAGGACATAAGAAATTAAAACCCGAATGGTTTCGGCTATTTCCAGCCATTATTCACGCAGACACTGGTACATGTGTTTCACATTCAGTCTCTTCATCTACACCACACACGCATACCTTGTTCAAAAACAGCTTGGGTCAGGCAGGCGGTTCCTTCGGTGACATCTGGGTTTGGTACAGGTCTGTGGCACGTTCAGCAGGTTTCAGCAGGATGTGTTTATACAGCATTATTGATTGACAGTCTCTCACTGTCACGGCAAAGATGTACTTTTGACTGCGTTCATCTTGTTCACATCAGAGTCGGGGTCATCGGGTTGAGTATCGGCCCGGTGAAAAGAGGCAGGTCCTTTCCTCGGTTCTGGGTTTATCTAACACCATCACAGGCCTGAGGACTGAGCCGTGTAATAGGGGCTGTTAACCTGGAAGAGCAGAGATGATATTCATAAGTACAGTCGAATAAAGATAAACAGTAGTAAAGGTTACATTTGTTCACAGACTGGCTGAGAGGCACTAACTCGCTGTAAAACGCAGAAGGCAAATTGACAAGAGACCCCTGTCACCACAATATAAGCCCAAGACACACCTACATCCTAGAGAGCCTGTCGGCACAAATATAAAGATAGATTTAGATCTAGCTGCATTGTACATCAATCCAAGAGGTTGTATTTACCATAGAATACAAATATTCAGTAGGTAAATATTTATTCCAGTATTTAATAAAGGTTGTGGTTTCTAGGATATACCGCAGAAGTATGTGAGGATTCCAATAGCCACATGAGCACTTATGGAAATAGATTTGCTGGGAATTAATGAGTGTCTGCTCGGACGCTACTGTATGACTCCCAGCATGGCAGATGATTCACCTTCTGAAGCTGTGAGGTCAATCTAACAGAGGTGTTACAGGCCTTCGGGTCAAATGAATGCAAAAAGAGATTATGCTGTAAACTGTTTCAAAGAGCACAGGAAATTCATTAAAGTGCCCCTATTATGGGTTATGAAAGGTTCATATTTTGGTTTTGGGAGTCCCCAACAACAGGTTGACATGCATGCAATGTCAAAAAATGTCTTAAAATATGCATTTATTTTTACCTTACTTGCTCAACGACTCCCAAACTTCGTTTAACGATTCAGTTTTCCAAACCCCTCGTTTGCGTGACGCTATTCTGCTGTGATTGGTCTGATTGGTCTCATTTTCATTTCATCATGCCTACAAACAAAAGAAAAGTGCAAAGTAGAGTTGGTTTTAGCTGAGTGAAGAGAGGGTTGGGGCTTTGTGTTTCCTTTCGCAGCTTCACTCAGTGTAGGGTTTCTCAGTTTTGTACTTTTGTAATTGTGTCATTTTTCATATTATACTTTTGTATATATTTCTGTATTTATTTTGAGTCAAGAAAAATCTCAGCTCATTTTAATTTGACAGAAAAAAACATATTCTAAGACAAAAAGCCTTGCATGAAATGTCCTATTTTTTATTTTCATCATGCCGGAATTTATTATAAGTGTTTTAGATACTAATTGAAATCCTTTCATTAAACATTAGTAGTTGAAACAGGAGTCTTGTGGTGGATTTAAGACATATTTTGGAATGCAAGGACTGCATTGCACATTTTCAATACATCTCGTTGAAAGTTATTTCTGTATGTGGTCAAATGAGGAATGAGACAGCTCTATGTATGTAGCACTACAACAAAGTTGGCTGGGAACAAGTCTGTTTGTGTTCCCGCTCCTGCTTTCTTCAGAAATCATATGAAGGCCTACTGAACATATTTTAGCCTCTAAGCCTATCAACACACGAGGGACTATTTTATTGCTGTTGCCTAATTATAATCTATATGCAAACCTGATATCCATACAAAAATAACAGTAATACAGTTATTTACAATATTTTATAATGCAATTACAAGATCTTTGTATTTTGACTACATAATCCAAATTACATACTGTAGCCCATTACTACCCAACAACGCCTGTAGTATAAGAGGTGATAGTCCAAAATTAAAAAAAAAAAAAAAAAAACCTTTTAGGGGCCTTATAATGCTTTATGGAAAGTTGACTGGGTTATTTGAGGTGACTGCGGCTGGACTTTCCATGGCACTGCATCTGTTCATATGGGCAAAGAGAGAAAGCTGAGTGCAATTGGCATTAAAAGCTTACACATTCTGCCATTTCCCCTCCTGCCCGTTAACTTCCTGGGTAATAAAAGAATGACAGGAAATACTTAAGCAAGGGAGTCCAGGAGTGAATCCAAGGCTAAGGCAAGTAGACCAAAAACACACACTATTCTAGCAAAAAATAAGGTCCGACACGTTAAGAGAAAATGGGTTCATCCATTCAAGTGACAAACACATTCATTCATAAAAGGACTATGAATGTTCCCCAAAGACAAGAATCTCTACAAAGTCTCCAATGTCACAGTTTCCAGAACTAATAAAAATACAAGAGTCCAAATGAGTCGTTAAGTAAAACTTTAAAGCTTTTGGTTTCAACAGAAGCAACATGTGGAATATTCCCTGTTGGTGTACATATCTAAGGGATCCTGAGTTTGATTAACGATACAAATGTTTTTCTGTAAAAACCCACCCTGAAGACGACCATCTGATCTAAAGTTTGATTTTCGACATTTAAGGCTGGAATACACTACACTATTTTTGCCCACACTTTCTGCCGATTTACTGTGTGGAGAAGTTGACGCTAGTTGCTGAAAATCAGAGTCGGTCTGCAGATTTGAGTTGATAGATGTCATAGAACATCGTGTAGAGTATGATGGTCACAGACTCTGATTATTTTAGCTTCAGACTATGATCCTCCAGTCGGGGGCATAACAAATATGCTTGATATTTTGAGCCTATTTTATAACACAATGTTTGTCACACATATTCTAGCAACAATGCGCACATATCCGTGTGAGTTTGTTGTGATCGGAACAACTTTAAAGTCTGGTAGTGTATGATCCTCAGTCGTTTAGTGTATAATGGCTAGTTTTCCTCTGCGACTATTACAAATTCGGTGAGTATGATGCCAAGTGTTTTGAAATCTGTTCAAATTTTAAAAGTCATGTAGTGTATTCCAGCCTTTACTCACACAGGAAGAGCGCAGGGATATAAACAAAAATCAGACATACCTATTAAAGCTTGCTTTTTTGTTTGCGTTAACATACTAAAGTACAAGTACGAAATGTTTTTCATGCAAATGAAATAAACACACACAGCCTGCAGGAAAAAAAAAATGTTTCTAATTAAGTCTGTGTGCCTGCACTCTTGCTCAGTGAACACAAATACAGGGCGCCATGCACCTGGTGCGAGAAAGACCATCCATTTAACGCATCAGTGGCATGATCGATTCTTCATAGCTGCCTCACCTTTATGCCTTCCTTCCCACTTTCATTTACTTTAATCCAGTGCCCTTTAAACCCAGGAACAAAACAGAAGGACAAAAACAACATCTAAAAAATAGAAGGGAAAAAACATATGACCATACAGTGAGGAACATAATTTAGTTTTTTAGACGGCACCTCTACTCTTAGGGTCACATAGTTTAGTGTGTAATGATCTGTGTGCCGAATCTGAAATAAAATAAAATAATTAAAGGTGTGGAGTTGAAGATTACAGAAGTGAGTAGGCGGCTCTTTGCGGTCTTAAGAGGCATTAAAGGGGTCATGAACTGAGAAATCAAAATTCCCTTGTCAAAATTCCCGGTCATTTGTTCACTTAATTTTTACCACAGATTCTTTTACAAACAAAGCACAGTTCGAAGTGGGATTTTCAGAAAGAGTCAAACTAAAAGACTATACTGTGCCGACTATATTGGTTCCGACAGTAACGTCGCAACACACAAGTGTGAGTAACTGCTTTTATTACGTGTGCACTATTGATTTGTCTGTTATTACAGATCATTTGATATGTACTGAGTATTTATCACAGCAGCATCCATCTATGAGGAATGTATGCTGTCAAACATACACAAGTGTTAGCCAATCATAGCAGTGGGCGTTTACATTCGAGTCTACAATCTGCCACGCCTATTCAAACAGAGTGTTCTGATGGCGGGGGTTTAAAACAAGACAGAAAATAGCCTATCACTTCTAAAATATGTTTTTTGATGTAAAAATCTTGATAACATTATAATACAATCCTAATGCAGAATCCACCATTTTGTCCAACAAACAAATCAGACAGGAGAGTAGATGAACTTCGGTGGACTTAAACTTGAAAAATTGTGTGTATTGGTGTCTTTCTGCGGTTGAAATAAAATATGTTCTGATGTTCATTCATGTTCATTTCAAGTAAATATGAAAAGATGATCAGTTCACGTCTGCCGCTTGAACTGAGGCACTACAGTGATCTGTCATGACACAAAGAGCCACAAAATGGTATTTCTTTTTTGAATTTCTTAAAAAAAAAAAAAAATTCCAAATTTGAAAGTTGAGACTTTGTTTCATACCAGAAGTAACCTGCTCTGTCTCGTCTATCAGCGTGTTGTTAGTTTCTTCTTTCCCCGCGATGTATTTTTTACTGCGTGAAAACAATGTGTGCAGTGTGAGAGTGGCATAGCTTGTCAGACATAGCATCAGTAGCTAAGGAGGGTGGGTTTTTGCGAAGGGTCAATTAGTCACCCTCATGATGTCCTTACTACATTTGTGGGCCTTGAACTCCTTAGTTGCGATGCTGTGTATGCTTGGTCAGAAAGCTCATGGATTTCATCAAAAATATCTTAATTTGTGTTCCGAAGATGAATGATCTTATGGGTTTGGAACGAGAGTGGGTAATTAATAAGAGAATTTTCATTTTTAAGTGAACTATCGCTTTAAGATTAGCATTTACACTACATATGTGATGTGATCATGCACATTTCTGAATGTAGTTTGAGTAATCAGACCACAAAACATTTTAGACCCACTTGCAATCAGATCATCCAAGATCAATGTGGACACCAAATCACAACAAGAACAATGCCCACATGGTGGTAGCTCAATTCCATGCCTAGTAGGACTTGAACCTAACCTTATTGGTTACCAGCCTGTATCTTTAACCGAGGGGTAACACCAACCACCTAGAATGAAGCTGTAGATGAATGCCATGTGTATGTGCATGCTGTGAGAACAGTGCAAAACTAAGAGCTCAGGAATGACAGGATGAAAATAAACTAAATAATGAGTGCAGCCCAGATGGGTCCAATCAATGCATGGATATGGTCTGCTATTAGCTGTGACAAATCCATTTATTAGGATCTGAGCAGTTTGCTTGGATTCAACAGTGGTAACAAAGGTAACACATAATTTTAAATTGAAAACAATGTTCTCCACGTCGAAGGAAAAACATGTTAAATGACACGATTATAATAGTAATATGAGATTCTGCAATGCCAGACGACTACAACTATCATTTTCTCATTTTCTCTTCTCATATTTCAGAGCAACTCACTGTTTTTTGTTTTGTTTCTATGTTTCTTTAAATATATCACCCTATCCCACATAAGTAGCTGAAGAGTAATCTTAAAAAATAAAATGTGATGTGTTCCTTCGAGATGGAGCAAGCGGCAGCACAGCACGCAGACGGCTTAGTTTCTCACGGCTGAGGCCTCTTTCAGTCTGAAGGGAAAGACTTTCCTCCACCCATACTTTGGGTAAACAGTTAAAAATAAGTCTCTAAGAATCTCTTTTCCACAAGCCAAATGCAATCCATTTCAAAACAAAAAAGGACCTCATTAAGGCCTAAAAAAGTGAATATTTTTATATACCGGCTTCACCAAAAATAAATCTGTGCTAAAGGCTGCATTTAAAGAACAGGTCATACAGGGAAACTAGTTTAAAGAATTTGCATATAATTGCTTCTAAAATTGGTCACTAGCTGTACATTTCAATTACCTTAAGCACAGAGAAAATCTTTTGCATGTTTGATCTTAACTTTCCTAAACTAAACGTTAAGGTCATTACAGACAATGTCAGATTATTGTATTTGTATTATTATTTTTCCTATTTCTGATGTAGTAGTACTGTATACTAAAACTGTTTTGTCTATAATCTGCAAAGAAGCAATCAAGAATTTAACTGTAGTTGTAAATAATAATAATTAAAAGCCGACTTGGCTTGAAATGCAAAAGCAGACAGTACAAACAGAAATAAAGAAGGCTTCATGCGTTTTCTCAAACGGAAATGACAGTGACACTGTCTTTAGCCATCTGAAAACCAGAATATGCAACATGGTCCCTGGATGAGGTGCCACTGTTGACGCGCGATTGTGTTACAGAGGGGTATCTGGTTCTCTGTAAAAGTGTGTGTACACACACAGTGTAACATCCTTTATCCTCAGTGGACAATTGTATTGTGGTAAAGCACTGAATACTCACCCGTGTGTCATACTCCAGGACAAAAGGAGGGATGTCAATCTGCTCAGGTAGGATGCAGGTGAAGAGCTGCTGTAGGTTCTCTATGTGATGGACCTTCTCTTTAAGGCCTGATACACTGAACGTCGTGAAGAACCAAGTAGAGACCTGACAGGAATCACAAACAAAACCATTTGATTGACTGAGATGCTATTTTCCATGAAAAGGGTACAATAGTTGTTGAAACACAATATAATTATTATTATTTTTTAACAAATGGTAACAAATAAAAGCTGTGCTTAACCAGCAGAAAAGGTTAATTGTCAAACTTATATGAGCGGTATATACATGGGTTTGGGACACGTCTGAAAATGTTGGGAGAGAGCTTTATATAAAAAATATCATTAACAATTCTTTGATGAATTCTGTATTCATTGATTCGTTGAAGAATAGAAAGTTTAGAGAAGAAAAACAATTGTTCAAAATATAAATCTTTTGTGACATTATAAATATAATTTATAATCATTTGTTCACCTCACATTATAAATGAACTCAAATGTAACTCTATAGGAAAACAGCATAGACTTCTACACCATTTTAAGGTCAATTTAATAAATAACAGATAGCTACAAAATTGGTGAAGCTGTAACTGAATTAAATGTTTGGTTGCTAAAGGCAAACTCGTAGCTCCTAAAGCTGTTGCTGGAGTCATTTTCAGCATTTACTCCAATGACTCAGCCCTAATGCTTGAACACGTTTCACACCTGGGATTGTTACAATGCTCGAGCATTCTCTGGCTGAAAAGGACGCATTTTAAAACGAACAATTATCTGACACTTAATTGCCGGGGTTCCTCTACATTTGGAGTGCACAAAGCATAATTGTTGAATAATTTCGCAAATTAAAGCAAAGCCTGGCAGAGGCAACACACTCTCATAAGCACTTCAATTACCTGAATAGGTTCTGTGGAACAGTATGGAACACTTAGTGCAGACACATCATGAATCTCAATGCGGTCTCAGAGACGCTTTTCAACATATTCAGTTACACAGACTCACACACAGTCTTTTTTTAGTCAAAGTGGAACATGTGGAGCTGACCGCTGTGAATCAGACCATAGGCCCGTACAAACTCGGAAAGAAAAGCTCAAAACGAGATGAGCATCTAGTGTTGCCTTTAATGGACTTACATCTGAGTTGATGAACTGAGTACATTTACCTTGGAGCGGAACGTCGGGTGAACAAAGTAGATAGCCCTCAGGTTTTTCTTAAACCTGAAAACACAGAAGGAAAACCTTGCGAGAAATGGTTTTTGAAACATTATCAACACATCCAACCAATTACTTATTACACAAATAGTGAACTTGGCTTTGAAAGGATTATTGCCTTAACAAAAACAATAAACCCATTAGAAAAGGGAGCTAAAGCGCATTTTTTAAGAACGAGCAAAAGTCAGTGAATCGAGTCCAATGGGGCAGCCACGTCCAAGCCACACGCTGTTGTCCAAAACACACAGATGGATAGAGATCTGGACAGCCAGAAGTGGAGGGGTGTTCGAAAAGTGCAAGGGACGTGTATGTCAACCTTTCCCCTTTCCCACGATGGACTTGGACCGTCCTGTCCAAACCCATGAGCAGGGGTCATAGGGAGTGATAGCGTCACTGGCTAACTCTGCTATAAACATGGCTGTGATTGCTAACAGAACCTCATCACTCTCGCTGAGGATTATGTCTGTAAAACGCTTTCTTATAGACCTATGCCTTTTGAGAATAAATAATACAATGATGATATGCTGTGCTCTGCAGATACCTCATAATAAATGACACGAGTCTAACTGGCCTGGCTCTCAAAGTTATGAGTCATGCTGATCTCCACGATGTGCGGAAAGTGTGAGGGACTGGAGCTGGAGAGCATTTCTGCTTTTTATTTCAAGACTGTGGTTTCCTCTGCCTGCATGCTGAGAGTGTCCCCTGAATAAATGACAAATGCCTGACCTCACGATCACCTCCCCCGGTTTTGACTTTCGAACAAGGACTCAAACTCTTCTGCTAAGCCAGGAAAATAGCATTATGAGGACTGCTTGATTAAAAGAACAATATGTTTCTTAACACGCAATTACAATGCCATTACATGGAGCTATATCTATGCAAGCGTTTGTAAGCCTCTGGTGGTGATTGTTTGCTGTTTTTCTTAATTGGTTTGGTGAGAGGAGAACATCGAGACTTCAGATGTACAAGGTGTCAAAGCCACTGCAATCGCTCTCAATGTTCTAACCTTGATAACCCCCTTCAAAATTTCCCAAAGTGCTCTGAAAAAAGCAATATTATTTCACTTTCCTTAGAAGAATCAATCACCTCAGACACATTTGAGCACCAATTTAGAGTGATACTCTAGAGAAACACCAGGTAAAACAGGAAACATGACTCTTTGAACGGTGCTTTCCGAACTGGTCATAACCTACAAAAGGGTCAAGCTTATGTGTATAAATCTTCTTGACATTCGAAGAACAGGAAGCCCAAGAAGACACAGACATTCCCCTTATGATTTTACAACATATGTGCTGTGTTTGGGTTTGAGGAGACAGTGCTGTTTGGCACAAGAAGGTCATAAAAACGAATAGTCACCAAGCCAGCATTTATATGAAACTGTGATTAGCTTTTCCATGAGAGTCTGAGTTATGGTTTTAAAGAATACCTCCGCCAAGAACTGGGTCAAGTCATCTCAAAAACATTGTAAGGTCGTAGAGAGCAGGGAATGTGGGTGGTTTGTAGTATCTCTGTAATGGAACAGAAATAGCTCTTACTTGGCATCCACAATATCATAAAGCTTCTTGAGAAAGTCGGTGTCCAGGTGGTTGTGTTCACCGGTGAGTGTGTGGAAATACACCATCACATACTCCTTCACCGTGATATGGTCCATCACGTGGATGAAATACAGCAAAGCCTAACACACAAACACACACATTTACTTAGTTATCTAAATAGGCACATTTCATAGTCTTTGATTGTTTTCATATTCAGCTAAAATGCTATAACTTAACACTAAAACCACATTCTTAAATTAACTCTAACATTGTGTGTGTGTTTTTTAACAAATGGGGACACGCTCAAGAGGACATTTTGTCAGTTTTAATTTAAGTTTTTTATTTCTCTGCACAAACTTGTCTCCCAAGTATGGTTAAGTAGGGCAGGTACACACTATTACTTTAAGTAATAGTTCACTCAAAAATGAAAATTCAGTCATCATTTACTCACCTACATGACATTTCAAATTCTCTCTTGTGCTCCACAGAGGAAAGAAACCCACACAGGTTTGACATGAGTGTGAGTAAACAATGACAGGATTTTTAGTTTCGAGTGAACTAATCCATTAAATAAACATTCTAAACAGTGCAGTCTATTTTTTCATATTTGCATTTATAGTGTAGTAAATATTTAACAATTCAATCTTTTAAAAAGAAAAAGACGTCAAATCAAAAGTTTCTGATTCAAATGCAAATCTCAAATAGAACTTTTAATGTAAATATAAATCTAAAAGGTCTACATCTAAATGGAAATCTTGAGAACAACATTCTTTTAAAACACATTCTTTTAAAAATGAAGTTAACCTAAATTTAACCATTAAGTTAACCTTAAAGGGGTCATATGATGCGATTTCAAGTTTTCCTTTCTCTTTGGAGTGTTACAAGCTGATTGTGCATAGATAAGAGTTAGGCAGCATTTAGTGCTAAATCTGACAAAATGTATGTAACATTTGGTGCAAAATAAGATGGAACTGTAATAAAATGGACTGTCATTAACAGAACATGACAAATGGAAGTATGAACATTTTCTCATTTACCTTCTCCATATCAATAAGTGTAACTGGAATATTCCTGCCAACAACAACCATGACCGTCCTACCACACAAATCGACACCTGAAAATGAGAAAAAAAAGCTTTGTGATAGGACTATATTATGAAAGAATGTTTCCTCACACCCACTGCTGACAGCATTCTCACATGCAGCATATCTCAAGAAACACATTAGACATTTCAGCCTCACCCTGTTTAATGCAGAAATGAATTATGTATACATATTAAAATACATGTTTTGCACTATATTATAAGAAACATCTGCATGTGCATAGCCAGATGTCTTCATATAGTCCATCATCACGTGGCATAGCGAATTTACACGTTGAGGTGCACAGCTGGAGAAAGTCTGCCCCCCTTTGGTCAAGTGAGTTATTGTGATTCAGATACTCCGTTTTTTGAAAAGTACTGTTCTGTGGCTTTCTGAAATATGATTAAAAGTAGAAATTCAAGATGAAATTTAGCAGGACTAATAGCTTCTGGCAAACCTAATGTGTACAGTCTGTGGTAAAATGTCATTGAGGTTTTGAACAACTCAGTAGGTCAGCCTGGACAGTATCTGAGCTAAGAAACAAAAAAAGATGATGATAAATAACAACACCGAAACCGTTACTTTGGTGGTTATTTTTTGTCCTGAAATTGTGAAACGAGAGAAATGGATTACAGAACCCCCTGATGTTGAGCTCAATGAGGCGGAACAAAGGTTTCCTGCCCAGAGAGCAAACACACAGATGGAGAGAACACAAAGTCCACATGTGCATAAAGATATACAGAGAGACAGCAACACAAAGAGAACGAGTGAACATGTGCTGGAGAACATGTGTGAGATAAAAGAGGCAAACATCAGACCATATCATACTACTACAATAAAGTCGACATACATGAACTAGGGCTGCAAAACGATTTAATATTTTAATAAAATTAATTGATATGCCAATTAATTAAATTACTCATGAGTGTTTCATTTTAAGACTGTTAAAAGTACTTGATTGGAAAAGAACTTGATTAAATAAGTTTAATAATTAATTGTTCTAAAGTATTATGTTAAATTTACAGCCTTAAAATTAAAACATTTGAAATACAATTAATTTACATAAAACAATTAAAATACATAAATACCCATAAAGACAAAGACTGACCGGTCTGATATAGTGCTTTTAACGCTGCTATGTCTGAAAGGTCCTCTGCTCGAGCTCTGCAAAGCCAGCGGTTATAGCTGTGAAGAAAGACAACAAGAACTAAGACTTCACCTCTAAGCAATTTGCAGTGATGTAAAGAATTTGATACATACATACATGCAAACAAACTCAGAGTACACAATTCTACAGTATATCAAACAAATCTGCACTCAATAATGATGACTATGAATTAGATCATGGCCAAAAGATGCCATTGGTTATGCTAAGTTTCCAGTGTCTCAAACATTTGCCATGATAACCAAGGTTTCACCAAAGGACTGTAACAGGACTGTAAAATCGTGGTGACTCATTAAAAAAAAATGAAAACATAACAGGAAGGTTTTGAAACTTCTTACTAGGGGTGGGCAGTATAACCAATCTTATATTTGAGCAATTTAGAAATTCATGCAAAGTTTTAGATAATTCAGTCAGTGTATTAAATACAAATTAAATGGTACCTTATCTCTTCATATATGTTACATATTACATATCATATATTATACACACACTTATATATGTATGTATATATATATATATATCCAGCCCCAGGTCGGACTCTAGTGAGTCATCCCCGGAGTCATCTGCAGATAATTAGATTAATATCACTATTATGTACTATTATTGTGTATTAGTGCATTACACAGAATTCTAGATATTACAGGGAAAGCAAAACCAATGCGCCATAAAAATTTGCTGAAGCACAAATGCTTTTGCTGTGATAAACAGTAAAATATACTCTTGCACACTCGGAATGACCATTACTAGGTTCCGTGAACACTACAACGTGGTACATTCCACAAGACCTGAACTCCCACCCTCAATCAGAGCTGGGAAAGCCAGTGGTGTGTGTGATGTACAGCCAGGCAAAGCGTAAAAATAATCCTTGTCTGTTATTCTTGTTTACATGTGTATGCCAAATATCTATTACGGGCCAACCTTAGCCATATTTGACCAGACATGAAAAGAAAGTCCAGTCTGAACAACAAACAAAACTTCTCATTTCCTCAGCTGAACCACATGGTCACTGGTCAGACTATGAAATATTTAGCCAGAAATAAAAGAAACACCTTTGACAGACAGATAAAAAGACATTAACAGGTAAATAAGGGGATTACAGCCAAACACTCAAATGCTAGCAAACCTAGGGTGAGACATCAACAAGACTCAATTAGACACAGATGTCTCCTGAAGGTTATCTTTGGCCAAAATCATTACAGCATGTTGAAGCAAAGAATGAGATTATGTTTTTGTAATGCAACATATGGTCCTTTTATGATCTTCCTCACTGAACAGAGAGCACCAATGCTTGCTCTTTCTAGTAATGCATTTGGCCTAGAGCTGAAATTTATTTGGATTTCAGGAGCACTTCACCACAATGTGACATAAAAACTTTGTGACACACAAAGATCTAAAAAAAAAGGAAACTGTAAACAATTAAATGCAAATATACCCATTGCACAGCAAATGAAGGAAAGAAAATGTAAAGCCTAGAGAAATTAAATGGGTTTTAAGGGAACGGGACAGAGAGAGAAAAACTGGAGAAAGCAGATTAGGGAAGTGTGTGGTTTGAGGCATGCTTTGAGACTTCTACATGGCTTCATAGACTAATCCATAAGAGCTGGGCTGTATTAGTAAAGGCCTAGTCACCTGCTGTCTTTAATATTACTCTAAGAATGACAGGCAGACTTGCTTCACATGATGAAATGGCATTAATAAGAGGACAAGAGTTTGAAGAGATCAGCCAGATCAGTGATAGGGTGCAGCAGAGCCAGTCCATGAACATTAAAAAGTGTCCTTTAATGTCTTTCAGAAAGACTGTATAGGAACAAACACTTCTGATCCTAATAAAAACCCTCAGCAAGGTTTTGGCCCTTCCAAAGATAGCAATAATAAGTAATAAAACATCTGCACAATAAATCCTAATAAAACAGATGTGACAAAGTTTAGTATCACACTAACTTTCTGTACTGCACATAATCTGCTTTAGTAAGGGCCCAACACCGAACCCTGTGGTATTCCATAACTAAGCATGTTAAGTTAAGGGGCTTACGCGTTGAGTTAGGGTCCTGATCACACCATTGTGTTTATTTTGCTATATTAACCAGCTGACTGAACATTACCCCTCTTTTTATATGTATAATAAGGCTACTTAACTGAAAAATACCTTTAATAAATGATTATGTGTAAAATGTAAGTGTAAGTGTAAAGAAAATGCGGAGTGATGCGAGAGACAATAAACTAACATAGTTAAGTAGGTTGTCAAGGAAAAAATTTAACAGTCATTTGTCTTTTAAGAGTCTATATACAAAAAATTGGATTGTAGAAGATAAGTCAAACACATGATTCAGTTTTGTAAATCAAGTTTAAAACACTTTGGACCTTTAAAAGTTTCAAACCCAACCAGACTGAAACGGCAACACTGGCTCAACCAATTGTGTGAGTTTAGTGCTGGACTGACCAATGGCAGTTTGAACTGAATTTTTCATCAATTTCTTTTGTTGACACCAGTGGCCCAGAAAGTACACACTTCACCTTAGGGCTGCACAATTATGACAAAAATCATAATTGTCGAATATTCCCTTGAAATTGTAATTGCTATTATTAATTACGATTATCACAATTTACATTGAATGATGTTTATACCATTGTTTGATGCAACTGCATGCCATATTTGTATATGAAAATAAACAAGCTGAAGACACTAACTGAAAAACGAAAGAAAAAAACGCATCTTAAGCACGCAGAATAACATAAGTGGACTTTGAATGATTAATTGGCGCTTTGAACGATTACGTAATTGTGGCATTCATAATTGTAATCGCGATTAGAAATTCGATTAATTGTTCAGCCCTACTTCACCTTTAACTTCATATTAACAAGGAAGTCTGGAAGCTGTTGTGCCATACCATATACCGAGGTAAATTTGGTTAAGCGATCATGTTTGTTCAGATTAGAGCTTGTTGTCATTCTCAAAGGCTCAAGCAAACATCTAGAACAGGGATGGGCAACTTTGATAGTGATGAGGGCCAGCATTTTTTCTCTGACTTGCTTTTCAAATGTTTTAAAATTGATCATCCGAGTCTAATATGATCCAGCGGGCCGTACTAAAAGACACTGCGGGCCGCCAGTTGCCCATCCCTGATCTAGAAGCAAGACTGATAAAGCAGATTATTGAATGACCTTAACTTGGGAAGAGCTTATTTGGTAGTTCAGTTGGTGACAGACCTTGGGCTGCCTTTCCATGTCCTGGAATAAAGTGTTCAAAGACAGGCAGGAAAGTGCAGTGTTTATTTACATGGGACCTGGCTTATGTGCTGTGTTTGAATTGGATCAACAGCTCTAGTGAGACTTGATCACCTTAGCTGGCTCACAGTCCACATGATCTGGGTATGAAATAATGGCAGCCAACAAATATACAAATTCAATCTCCCACTAACAAGTAAATATACACATGTGCTCCGAGTGCTATGGCAAGCACACAAGCCAAACATACACTCATTCTCATATAGGCATTTTAACAGTTGTGTCTATACACACACACTTGACTGTAGCTGTGTTCACAATGGGTCTGTCTGAACGCAGAAGATTCTGCAGTAGTCAAAGCTCCTGTTGTGTGACAGAGGAGGTGCCAGCTAATCTGAATTCATGAAACACCCACAACAGATCAAGATGAAAGGCCAGGGAGGAAGAGATGGCTCTCGATCAGCTGCATGCTGCTCATAATCATAATTTTATCACATTAATGGAAGACAACTATGCTTTTCATTCTGTAAACCAAATACATTACTGCAGATGCTTCTCTGTAAAAAAAAATCTGTTTTCCATTACACAGTGCAAATACATGTCTTCCAGATAATTGTTTTCCAAACATTTTGGTAAACATTTACTCCTACTACTTGTTTGGTAATCTTAAAGGGGTCATATGATGCGATTTCAATTTTTCCTTTCTCTTTGGAGTGTTACAAGCTCTTGGTGCATAAAGAAGATCTGTAAAGTTGCAAAGACTAAAGTCTTAAATCCAAAGAGATATTCTTTATAATTCTTTATAAAAGTTAAGAGTCAGTCACGCCTACCTAAAACGGCTCGTTCTAACACACCGCGGGGCATAGAGGAGAAACAATAATGTACAGTATGTGGAAAATAATGTGTTTTTTGAACCTTAAACCGCATAAACATATTTCATTACACCAAATACACCAAATAATGTTCTTTTTAGCAGCATCATATGACCCCTTTAAGAAATCTACACTACTGTTCAAAAGTTTGAGGTAAGAAAGATTTTTTAATAAATTGAAACAGATTAATACTTTTTCAGCAAGGATGCATTAATTTGATCAGAAGTGACAGAAAGACATTTATAATTTTACAAAACATTTCTATTTCAAACAAATGCTGTTCTTTTAAATTTTCCATTCATAGAATTCTGGGAATTTTTTTTTATCATGGCTTCCATTAAAAAAAATATTACAAACCCAGAATTTTTGAATAGTATGTCTACCTAAAAGATCTGAAAGTATGATATATTGAACAATTTTTTTAGCTCACCCTCTAGATTTCCTGGCTTTTCGGCAATGCGAATCTGTCTCTCCGGGACCACGGGCTCCCCCTCAGCATTGCCAATGTCGGCAGGGAGGAGAGGCAGACCAATCCTCTCCTCTTTTTTTGAACATGGGTAATACAAAGGCATTAACTTCCTGTACACTGGCTGGAAAACAGAATAAAATACAACAACGTTTAGGGTCAATCAGTCATAGATACACATTCAGGTACATGCTAAAAAAATACAAATCTTATTTTGTATTTGTGAATTTTTTTAAATAATGCAATTTAAAGAAATATTAGCAAGGAATACATGAATCTCGAACGTATAATGCTGTAGCTCACACTCAGCAAACACATACACAACAAAGTTGGCTTTTAAATCAAAACGAGAATTTCATAAGAAAATGAAAGAGCACACAAGAGAGTTAAAGGATGGAGGCTGTTGCATAACAGCGAAAATGAAATGCCACACACCTCCTCAACATCCGAAACAGCAAACACCACCATCTCAATGTTTTCACCATGGTTCTCCAGAAATCTACGAACAGTCCCTAGAAATATAAATGTGGGGGAAACACATTCTAATGAGATCCCTCTGAATTTCATCAGAAAGGAGTTACCTCAAATGTGATGTTTAATTTCAAAACATTAATTACTTAATGCTATATGCGTGGCGTCCTCCAGTGGATATGCCCTTTTGACTGTGCTGACCACACAAAACCCCACAGATGCCATGGCATGTTCCCTGAAGTGAGAAACACAATGAATAAACATTAAATACGTTGCATGTGCTTCAATTATATATAGTTTACATTAGTCAGTTGGGTTTTCCATATAGGAGTTTTCCATATATGAACAGACAGAAGTGTCTTTGATGACATGTTATCTGCATAGTCAAGCATTACTGTCATCAACACCTCCTGTTGACACACACACACACACACACACACAGTTGTTCCCAAACAATAGATGAATGGCATTTATATTTAGCCTAGGGTGAGTTCAAATTCACAAAAGCTAATGTATTCATTCACCAATGGAATCTAAATCTCATATCATTTCCTTCCTTCCCATAAGCACATGGGGTTTATTCTATACATCATCAGACATCACTTTTAATAATTTTCAAGCAATGAACATAAAGGTTGGGGTTATTTTACTAAACACATCACTGCCATGGGAACTGCTATCCTGCTTATCATAAAATATTTGATTTAGACTGTATTTGAACATTTTAATGTCTGATATGATCTTCGAGAGTGACTAACAGATAAAATAACTAAGCATATTTACTTAGTATAATCATGTCAGAACGTTCAGACAGTCTGTATGAGCTGACATTTAATATTTGTGCAACGATCTCACTAAATTTGTTGGAATGATCCGGCTTACTTGGCAAGCTGCATGACATTTCTGTAACAGCTGTAAAGAGAACTCTCCGCAGCTGTCCGGTACTTGGCTTTATATTTGGGTCCAACTGTGTGAATGATAAAGCGTGCAGCCAAGTTGAAACCCTCTGTCATTTTTGCCTCACCGGTCCGACATCCTGGAAAAATATATGCACACCCATATCACTCCAGCGAAAGTGATACAAAATGAGATACAAAATGAGATAAATGGGATAAGATCTGTTCCAAAGCTGTGTAACAAACACAAACAACATTTAAAAATACTAATAGTTTAAGATCACAATTAGATAACAGTTCTCCATCTGCTATCCTGGTAGTGCCCCCTACCTTTCAGTTTGAGTAATTCATCCCTTAGTTCAGGTCCAGAGTATCTGTGGATACTGTCTGATACAGGATTCTTGTCCGTTAGTGTCTCATTACTTGTATTGACGATTGCAGTGCAGTTTAAAAGTGCCACATCTCCATTACTGTAAAATGAGGGAATAATATAGACCAGCGTATCAGATACAGAACATCATATAAGCTATGAAAAAGCTGTGAGAACAAATATAGCATATAAATATCTGTGTTGTTATTGTAAAATAAAACAGTTAAAAATTATTGGTAATTGAAATAAAACTGAAATAAAATCAAATATAAGTATTAAATGAAAAACATGAACTTTGATTAGAAAATAGAAAAGTTGCCTTGGTTTAAGAACTAAAGTTACTTACTAAAACTAAAAAACAAAAACAAAAAAAAGTCAAATGCACAACAAAATTGCTAAAAACGAAATTAACCTTGAAATATAAAGAAAAACTAAAAATATCAATAAATAATATTAATAAACATAACATAAATTATATATATATATAGCTTTGCAGTTATATACATGGAAGTCAGATGAATGACAGAATAAAGTCACTATGAACAAATCCTGCAAGCATAACACTATGTGCACTGATGAATTCTACTCCTGCCTGAATTTCCAGAAGGACTGGTTTTATGAATTGGGCTTCATAGAGAAGTTCCATGCAATGAACTTCTACTTTCTTAAAAAAGAGAAACTATGAATTCAAAGAGAAAACCATCTTGATCCTTCCCTAACAAAGCTATATTGGCCTGAAAGCCAAAAGGACATCCCAGACAGTCACATGTGATTGAGCTATAAAGGGGATTTGTGTGCATGAGGGAACGACTAACAGACGTGAGGAGCTGGTGCAAATAACTGATGCAACAAACACACAGTGCAGAGTTACATAAAAATATTTAGGTCCAAATTACTAAATGATTAAACTATTAAACTAAAACAAAATCTTAAACTTTTGAACTAAGCAAATCAGTAGTTACATTTATAGACAATCCTGATGCTTAGGCTTTTAGGACCAAAAACAGATTTATATGTAGTCTATTTATTAAGCTATCATGTAGTAAGAGTGTAGAAATTCATGGAGAAGAACACAATGTCAGTGAAAATAACACTCACAATAGTACAATCTTGCTGTTGATGTCTTGTCTGAAGGGGAAAGGGGACTCTAAGGAATTGAGCTGATTGGTCAGCTGGTCATCTTCCTCCATTAAGAGGTTTTCTCCATCCACCTCGTCCTGGACACCCTGAGGCTGGTCCCACGTGGGGAGGTTCTGGACCTCCACAAACTGGGAACGAGCTCCCAAGGGATCCATGCTGTAGCTTCACTAGGCAATTTTGAACTGAAAAGACACAGACACAGACAATAAGTGGTGTGTAAACCACTTATTGTGGTTTACACACAATAAGACCTCAGTTTGACCTGGGCTATATTAGCACATAAATGCATACACACAGATATGTTTGCATTAGTTTACACATGTAAAGTGGTTACAATGACAGACTTCGATGCTGAGGCCCTCTAGTGGGCCCCGAACCAATTTAGTAAGCGTGTAGTAAGAATTTTTTAACCTAGATGTACATGCAAGTGTTTCACACTTAATAACTCATGTTTACAAAAAACATATGACATTATTATTAGATTTCAATACAGTGTGGCGCTTTCTTCAAAATGAATTCACATAAAACATAAAGCCACAATGAAATAGAAGAAATGAGTTCCCAAACTTTCAAAATGTGACAATAATTGTAAAAGTATTCAGCAAGACTTTCTGTGCCAGCTGCAGTATGAGAAGTGTAGTGTTCATGAGCGTAACTGACTTTCAAGCACAACAGAGAGGCTCTATCAGTGCAGACAGACAGGAGGACTTCAGGAACAGATAAGATATTCAGCAGAAATGAGATGCATGTGTAAAGGTCGACTCCCCAAATTAAATTTCAACAACAACAACAACAACAAAGCTACGAGTTCCTTCAAATACATATTCAAATACATAAAAGTTTCAACTCGAAAGCAATAGGCACATACAAACAATGCAACACAATACAGTTTTAAAGAGTATAAAAAGGAAAGCAACACGTCATACTCATTCTAACCACACAGGTTTATATTGACTTGAAAATGCTAATTATAACCACCACCATCAATCACAATAACCAGCAACCTACCAGATGTCCTATGATGCAGCTATTGAGTCCTTCCTACTGCACAAACAAAACCACATTAGCGCCAACTAATCCGTTAAAGATCACTGTCATTTTCCAGTGCTTCCGCTTTTAAATTAGCCATTGTTAAAATGTGATTTTAGCTGCTTGTGGTCAACACATCGTATTTGCAACATTCAGCGAGTTTCCTGATCAGCTGATTCACGAGGACAAAAATCATCACTTCCGGGAATGCAGTAGGGGCAGTAGCAATGTTGTCGATCCGTGTAGAAAACGCACAGACCTATACAAAATTGAAAGACATATTTTAATCGACGTTCTGGTGTCATCGCTAAATTAAAATAAGCATAATAAAGTACAATGAATAAATAAATTAAAGTTTTAATTATAAGCACACTGATACGCCTCATGGACAGCAACATGACTTCACACTCACAGACCGAAGTAATCGATAGGATACACATAATTCATAAGAAATAAAACGCATAAATAAAACGCATAAAGCAGTGTGAACAATGAGGAAGCATTCCGAACAATATTTTAGAGTGATACAGATGTCTATAAAAAGATAAATTCTAGAAACGTTTCGTGAAGTCACATCGTAGTTCTGCTCGGTAATCTACCACATTTGTCTTTACTTGATGTCACACATGCGACTGAAAGCAAAGCATGTAGAAGTTCTCCACATCCACAGAGGCATTATTTTCATAAAGGACTGCACATACAATATACGTCTAATCGACAAAGTATGTAACTACATTTTCTATACGCAGTGGCTTATTTTGAACTTGGTTATCTGCATATCTCTTGCACTTTAGATGAGATTAAACGGACTGCATGTGGTTCACGTTGCTGTGTCGCATGGACCTCAAAGCGTGGTGTTGGAGTAACAGTTGCTCACTTTCATTTTATGAACTGACCGTTTAATTCATATACGTTACACTTAGCAATCATACATTTTTAAAGGTACTTTTGAGAGTCATTTGTAGCAGCCGAATAACTAAAACACCAAAAAAAAACAAAAAAAACACATCAATAAACAACGTCACAACCACAGATCTGATGTTAACATGTTGACACAGGATAAAACTATATGAAAATAATATTAAACATGTAGTAACTTAGCATTTATTTTTGCCACTACAGTCTTTATATGTAATATAATTATATTTTCCAACAATCTCAGTATTACTGTTTTATACATTAGCTGTTCACCAATAATTAAGATTTTTTATGTATTCATTGTCAGGGATCAATCATAAAAAATTAATCTCATAATTAAAAAGATGCTTTAGCTACTAGCCAATTTCCATCTGTAAATGCATTTGCTTTGACATAAATCTTATTTTATGCCATGTAGAATTTACTTTGATATGCAGCTTTATACGGTATGATTGGTCTTTGCTAAATATGTGCTCACATGATAAATTGTGCACAGTTTTCTAGATTAAAGGAGCAACACATCTAACCCTACTCCCTTACTGTTGTGTGTGTTTGTGTGTCTACAGCCTCTGGCTTGTCATGGGTTTAACTAAGCAGTACCTGCGCTATGTGGCGAGTGCTGTGTTTGGAGTGATCGGCAGTCAGAAAGCCAATATCGCGTTTGTGACCCTCAGGGGAGGTGAAAAGGGTCGATATGTCGCCGTGGGAGCCTGTGAGCATGTGTTCATATGGGATGTCCGCAAAGCTGAGAAGGTACTTGCTTTAAATGGTTTAGAAGATTGCTTAGTACATTACATTCACTCATCAGTTTATATAAACTCATATACGTTGAACTCACCCCTTTCATTTCTCAGGTTCTTATACTTGAAGGTAAAAAGCATGAGGTAACATACCTGTGTCCTTCTCCTGATGGCGTTCACATAGCGGTGGGTTATGAGGATGGAGGTGTGCGCATCTTTAATCTGCACAACGGTGAAAGCAACATCTCCTTCAGTGGACACAAATCAGCTGTCTCAGTTATTAGATATGATGCACTCGGTGCTCGTCTCGTCACCGGCTCGAGAGTAAGACTACATACAGTTCGTTTTACAACTGTTTTTTTTTTCCAAACAAATTTTCAATTCTACAAACTAAAATAATTTTCGTTGTTGTATTTTAGGACACAGATGTGATTGTGTGGGATATCATCAATGAGTGTGGTCTGTACAGACTCAAAGGACACAAAGATGCAATCACACAAATTTTGTTCTTGGAGAGCAAAAACCTGCTGATTACAAGGTAAATCGTTCTTTATATTTTATTGGAACGAATTTATCACTTGAAAATACTCATATTATATTGTATTATTGTATATTGTAGTACACATCATTTACCAGAATATAAGTAGCTTTTTCATCATCTGAAATATGCTGTGACATTAAAAATAAAATTAACGTCAAAAACAAAAAATATTTGGATTTTGGCCATAAGTGAGAGGTACATGAGGCCAAGTTTCCCACGTGCCAGTGGTTTCAGTTTCACCTGAAATAAATGTGTTTAGGCTCTATGTATATATTTATAGTAAACATTGTTTATTATGAATGCCGCAATAATTTTTATATTTTTCATTACTGCTGTTCTGCACTTAATACTGTTCAATTTCAAGGATTTGAGTGAGGGGAACCAAAATAGTTTGTAATTTTTGTAAACATTTCATTTTATTTACCTATTTTACGTATGTTTCCTCAGTTCCAAGGACAGTTTTGTAAAGTGGTGGGACTTGGACACACAGCATTGTTTCAAGACCATGGTGGGGCATCGCACTGAGGTAAACAGGTTCATTTTACACTGTTGAGACTTGATCTTTCTGAAATATACAACACAACAATTTAAATGCATGCTCTTGCTGCTTTGGTATGTCCACATAAATCAATGTACTGTAAATGATTAGGGAGTTTACTGTAAATGACCTGAGGTTAGGTGGCATTTGGCATCGTAAAGGCATCGTTCTTACTTTACTTTTGGACAATGAGCCTCCAGCACTATCCAAATATCTATTAGTGTTGTAATACAGTGCAACATTCTCTCCAATCTATGTAGGTATGGGGGATGGTCCTGTTGAACCAGGAGAGTAGGTTGCTTACAGGGTCTGCTGACAGTGAGCTCAGAGCCTGGGACATTCAATACATTGAGGAGGTAAGGCATATCATTTATGTTGTGCCAAATAGTTACTTTGTTGGCTGAATTACATTCCAGTACAGTCTTGAATGTGATACTTGAACTCTTATATAGAGAATTAAAGCTGATTTCATATATTCAGAATGACATTAAAGTTTCTTCACAGGGTAAGGAAGTGGGGGAGCCACAGGAAAAGAAAGTCAGAACTCTTCTTGAGAACGAGGAGGAAGATGAGGAAGGACTTGACGAAGAGCCAGAAGAAGTAATATTTCTTCCAGTATTCTCTCCAGTGCACCCTGTTCATTTAATTAATGTATTCAGTGGATCCTAGTGACTTGAGACGACACAATACACTTCACATAGGGTTTCCTTTAAATGTTCATCACAGATCTGATTTCTGTCCACAGCGAATTCTCAGTTGTAAGAAAGCTGGTTCTGTTCTGAGGGAAGCCAGAGACAGGGTTGTATCCTTGGTCACAGAACCCAAAGCTAAAGTGCTAGCATGCCATGTAAGTATGTTTCTGTTGTGTATACTAGTGTAACATCCTTCTGAAAAAGGGTTTCACTCTTATTAGCTTGGTCGGTAATGTTGAGAAGTACCTAATTAAAAGTAGCTATGCAATAGGGCAAAAATTGAGCCTACAACATATGATAATTTTTAAAAATCTTTTAACAGGGTCTGGATGCTACGCTTGAAGTCTTTACTGTCCTATCTGAGAAGGAGGTCCAGAAAAAAATGGACCGAAAACTAAAGAAAGCCAAGAAAAAAGCAAAGTGTGTGAGACCTCTGTGTTGAAATGTGAAGTTGTTACTCTTAGCTTTTCTGCTATTCTGATGAACTGTTATGTTTTGCAGGTCTCAAGAAGAAGAAGAGGATGGACCTGAACCTGTAGTGGAGAGAAAGTTGAGTGATGAGATTCAAAAGCTGGCAAACATAAAGGCGTCATCCAAGATCAGGTTAGAGAGTACTTCTGCATGCAGTTATAGTCCCCTTGTGTGCGTTACTGGTATTAAGTATTGATGGTAATGCTTTTTTCATCTACAGATCGATGGACTGCCTTCTGGTTCCTAATGGAGAGATCAAGCTTGCTCTTCTGCTGCAGAATAACACAGTGGAGACATACACCTTGAAGACTACAGAGAAGAATCCTACTGGCACTAAAACCTCTCGCCTCACACTGGGCGGTCATCGTACAGATGTCAGAACGCTGGCCTTCAGCTCAGATAACATAGCCATCCTCTCCGCCTCTGGAGAGACCGTCAAAGTGTGGAACAGGTGAGTGTGATGATGACAAATGTTTCAATTTATTTGCGTGGGTTCATAGATTTTGAGTCCTTAACAAGAAGTATCTTCTTTGGTCAGGTCCACCTTGCAGGTCATTCGTACCATGGGATGTGAATATGCTCTCTGCTCGTTATTTGTTCCTGGAGACAGACAGATTATCTTAGGAACAAAGGTATGTAACTCTTCACTTCTCAGTCATCAATCAATTAATTCTTCAACTTCATGTCTTAACTTTATTACAAACCTGCATGACAAAATTACAAAAAAGCCATGTTTAGAAGCCATATGCAAGATTAGTGTGAGGAGCAGTTTTTCATATATTGTTTTGTGCATACTACGCACTGACATTGTAGTATTTATTCATATTTTGAATTAGATTTTTTTTTTTTCAGTTTTCATTTTAATTTCAGTTTGTTTTTTTGTCATTTTTATTATTTTTTCATTTCTGTTTTAGTACTGATATTTAAACTAAACTAGGTGTGTAAAGAGACACTGTGCCACATTGGCCGTAATTGACATTAAAAGTGCCATTAGTTCTGGTCTGTCTTGTAACCGAACATGAGCCACCAACTTTGAAAATGCATGAATGAGATTTAAATGAGACATTTCCTGAATGCTAATTAAGATCCTGAAAGACTATCTGTTGCAAAAATTTGAGTCCATATATCTATTACTATGAAAAATTTATTTTTCATTATTCTTTTGTCAGAGTGGGAAGATTCAGATTTTCGACCTGGCCTCAGGAAGCCTTCTAGAGACAACTGACGCTCATGATGGAGCTCTTTGGTCCATGTGTCTTTCTCCAGACCAGGTATAATATCGATCTCTCTTTTGAATGACAAAGAGCTTCTCATCCCTACAAAACACCAGTCTGTGACTACAGTGAATTCCTGACTCTATTCCAGAGACAGACAGTAAGCTGTCAGCAAGAGTTTTAGCTTTATGTGAACATATTTGACTTTGATTTGTGTGTGTTAATGCAGAGAGGGATTGTAACTGGTGGTGCTGACAAGACTGTGAAATTCTGGGACTTTGAGCTCATAAAGGATCAGGACTCTGGGAAGAGCAAGTGAGTTATTATCTGTGATCACAAACCACAGCTCTCTCATCCAGATTTCTCCATCTCTCTTTCTCTTCTTGGCTTTAATGTATTATTGCTTTGTGTAATCCACAGGAGACTGACGGTGAAGCACACACGCACCCTGCAGTTAGATGAGGACGTGCTGTGTGTGCGCTACAGTCCTGACCAGAGACTGCTGGCTGTCTCTCTTCTTGACTGTACGGTCAAGATCTTTTACACAGACACGCTAAAGGTAAACCACAAGCACAGCATATAGCATTACAATGCTTTCCTCACACCACAACACATAGCATCTTGCATGTTAAATCCATACATAAATCCAATGCTTTGTAAAAAAAAAAAAATGTTAACAGTGTCCAGCAAAAAGACCACTGTTAAACTCGAATTACATTTACTGAGAGATATTTTACCACCGATAAACATCCTGACACTATATGCAGACAGGCCCGGTTTATATCAACATCCATCTTGGGTGATCTGACCACGTTAGCTGAGACCGACAGCTAACGTTATTCTTTATCGAAGAATAACATACGTCTCAAATGCATCTCCAGAGCTATGAACTCATACATCATGTGTTAGTGTGTCATGTTGATCAAGTGCGAAAAATAAAGAAAAAATGTTGCTCAGCACAAATTATTTTTCAAACAGAATGCTTTATGTTTAATTGCAATTTTATTCGAAGACTTGCATTAACTGATCTTCAGTTTATGTATTCGTGCTTTGCATGATATATGTGAACCTGGACCACAAAAATATAATTTTTTTTTAAAAAGTCTTAATTTTAGCAATAGCCAAAAAAACGTTGTATGGGTAAAAATTACCAAATTTTTTTTATGCCAAAAATCATTAGGATATTAAGTAAAGATCATGTTCCATGAAGATATTTTGTAAATTTCCTACCGTAAACATATCAACACTTAATTTTTGATTAGTAATATGCATTGCTAAGAACTTCATTTGGACAGTATTCAGCTTTGAGATGTATAAATCTGTATAAATCTCAATTTTAAAAAAAATGGACCCTTATGACTGGTTTTGTGGTCCAGGGTCACATATGTTACTGAAATGAAAAAGTCTTGAAAGTTTTATAGGCCTGATGGATGGATGAGTGTTCAATAATTCAGTCTTTTTCTTATTTATAATTATCATATAATTGTTAATTTTAAATATGTTACATTTTTTTATTTTTTATAATTGTGAAATAATTGTTTAAAGTGGTCATTATTTTTAAACCTTTTTTTGTATTCTTTTTTTTTTTCAAAGAAAATTACTTACCCAATTCCCTTATCCATCCACAGTATTCTCATACTTGTGGAAAAAGATATTTAAAATGTGCCCTATTGAACTTTGTATTTCATTTATATTTCATAAATAATATACAAACTATAAATGGGGCCACAGAAATTATAAATTACCAATCACCACTCCTAATGCCCAACTCTACCCAAAAAACAGCAGTTTTTTACAGGACAGATATGAGAGCTGTGCAGAATAATACGAGATTTGCCCTCTGTCTCAACTTCCTCTAGTTCTTCCTGTCGCTGTATGGACACAAGCTGCCCGTTCTGTGCCTGGACATTTCGCATGTGAGTCCCCTGGCTGACACAACACATCCTGCAAGTTATTCTGACGAATGGCGTAATTGTTTTGCAATGTTGTTTGTGGGTTTCTGTGCGTGTTCTGCAGGACAGCGCTTTAATAGGCACAGGCTCAGCAGACAGAAATGTGAAGATTTGGGGTTTGGACTTCGGAGACTGTCATCGCTCTATGTTTGCACATGACGACAGGTGATAAAAACACTGCTGCTCGTATAATGACGCATTGCTGGCACAGTCTGTTCTCTGTCACATTACCTGTACGCTTTTTAGTTACATTGTTATTGAAAGTTTTGATACCGGTTGATGACAAGTATAGTGATTTCATTGTTCCTACCTACGGTGTTGACATCCCTCCAGCGCCTGTGAGCTGTAGTCGCTGGATGACATCAGCCCAGATGGTCATTATTTGTCATCCACTGTTCTTTCCCTGTTGTCTTTCCTCTCTAGTGTCATGTTTCTTCAGTTTGTCCCTAAAACCCATCTGTTCTTCACTGCGGGAAAGGACCGAAAGATCAAGCAGTGGGACGCTGACAAGTTTGAGCACATCCAGACATTGGAGGTGACCTTCTCTAATAGTTGGACAGCATTCAATAGGCATTTTTCCATAACCGGAATGAGTTTTCCAAAGGTCGCTAAGGTGGAAGTAGCTGTTATATTGAAAGGATTAGAGTTATATTAAGGGCCCAGTCAATATGCAGCAGAGGCTGATTGCATTACGTAAGCCGCAGTCTGCTTTTGCTTAAGCCCTAATCAATGTAATCACAGACAAAGATGTATTGGAACTGTTGCATTATTGCAGAGTGCAGACCCTCTTATACCCTTCACTGTGTTTTTCAACTTTGACCCTCGGATGTTCCTCAGGGTCATCATCGTGAGGTCTGGTGCCTGGCCATCAGCCCCAATGGAGACCACATCGTCTCCTCGTCTCATGATAAGTCCCTCAGGCTGTGGGAGAGAACGAGGGAGCCCATCATCCTGGAGGAGGAGAAGGAGATGGTGAGTGCTTGGTTTTTCAGCAGAATGTCACACAGCGGAAAAATGGGTTGATGGTATTAAATACATATCTATAGATCCATGTTTACATCTCTGATAGACTTCTGTCATTTGGGTAATGCTTTAGTATAGAGACCAATTCTCACTATCAACTAGTTGCTTATTAGCATGCCTATTATTAACATATTGGCTATTTATTAGTACTTATAAAGCACATATTCTGCATGACCATATTCTACGTACCTAATCCTACCCAATACCTAAACTTAACAACTTCCTTACTAACTATTAATAAGCAGCAAATTAGGAGTTTGAGGCAAAAGTCAGTTATTGGTTTGTTAATAGTGAGAATATGACCTTAAAATAAAGTTTGACCAATATCTGATCATGTCATTAAATTATGCAAGTTCATTTGCAGCTATTTTACATTGGCTTCAAACTAATGCGCAATATTTTACACAAAAATTGTGGTCTTATCTTATTATTACGAAAGTTGCATTTATTTGATCAAAAATACAGTAAAATTGTGAAATATTCTTATACTTTTAAAATAACTTTTCTATTTTAGTGTTTTTTAAAATATAGTTTGCCTGGCAAAGCTGAATTTGAAAAACTAATTAGCTGGAGTCCCTTTCTTTTTTAAATGATTGGTCACAAGATTATTAAAAAATAGGTTACTACATGGTTATATAATATATAACACATTTTGGGATTGAAAAGAAGAAACTTAATTGGTATTTTCATTTATTCTACCAATAAACCAAGTATATCAGCATTTAAAAGTACATCTATAAAAACAAACATCTGCTGTACACATTTGCTGACTTGTCTCAATATTTTTCCCAGGAAAGGGAAGCAGAATTTGAGGAGTCATTGGCTAAAGGTGATGAACCTGTGGTACGTGGTTCTCTTAAACCCTAGAGATCAGTTATGTCTCTTTATGTCTCTGTGTGTTCTCAGTGTTTCCTCATGTCTCGCAGGTCCCTGGAGAGACTAAAGGAGAGGCAGAGCCTGCTGGGAAGAAGACCATTGAGACAGTGAAAGCTGTGAGTCTGCAGAACTGTAGAGATGAAGAGCTCCTCTCCTTTATATTCAGTAATGGAGAAATTACACTTGTGTTCTGTTTCTATAGGCCGAGCAAATAATGGAGGCTGTTGAGCTCTATAGAGAAGAAAGTGAAAAGCTGGAGGAGCACAGTGCCGCTTGCAAGGCAGCAGGGAAGGAGGTATGATGTTTTTTAGACACTCAAAGCCCATTAAGAGAGAAACACAACATTTGATTGAAGTTCTCTTTTAGTCTGCACATAATTAGGACTGGAGCTTGAAAAGTTCACAAAATATGGATTTTTAATTGTAATGATGCTGGTGCTTTACTTAGACGCTTCTTTGTTTTTCTTTTTTGCAGTTACCACCCCCTAAGATGAACCCCATCCTTGTAGCTTTTGGAAATATCTCTGTGAGTGTGTGTTTTAATATTAGCACTGGGTTTGTTTGGTTGTCGTATTTGGTTAATAATTTAGGGGTGCACAATGTTTTAGCACCATATCGGTTAATGGCCAAATTAGAGAATTTTTAAAGATATATCAGATGATATTATATATTTAATTATATTCAATATAGGGACCAATTTACACTATTAACTAGTTGCTTATTAGCATGCCTATTATTAACATATATTGGCTGTTTACTAGTACTTAAAAAGCACATATTCTGCATGACCAAATTCTACATCCCTAATCCTACCCCATACCTAAACTTAAAGGGTTAGTTCACCCAAAAATGAAAATTCTGTCATTAATTACTCACCCTCATGTCGTTCCACACCCCTAAGACCTTCGTTCATCTTCAGAACACAAATTAAGATAATTTTGCTCAAATCTGATGGCTCAGAGAGGCCTCCATTGACAGCAACGCTACCCAAACTTTCAAGATCCATAAAGGTACTAAAGACATCGTTAAAACAGAGCGCGACGCATGCATGTGATGCTGATGCAGGAGCCGTCCAATAAAGAGCCGGCGTTCTGACCTAGAACCTGGAAGCGCTGGACGTAAACAACGTTTGAGAATGGCACAGAAGAGAAGAGGTTGTTGAATAAAGTCGTTATTTTTGTTTTGTTTTTGCGTACAAAAAGTATTCTCGTTGCTTCATAAAATTATTGTAGAACCACTGTAGTCACGTCGACTGTTTTAACGACGTCTTTAGTACCTTTATGGATCTTGAGAGTTTGGGTGGCTTTGCTGTCAATGGAGGCCTCTCTGAGCCATCGGATTTGATCAAAAATATCTTAATTTGTGTTCTGAAGATGAACAAAGGTCTTAAGGGTGTGGAACGACATGAGGGTGAGTAATTCATGACAGAATTTTCATTTTTGGGTGAACTAACCCTTTAACAACTACCTTTCTATTAATATGCATCAAGTTAGGAGTTTATTGAGGCAATAGTTTTGTTAATGGTTTGTTAATAGCGAGAATTGGACCTTAAAATAAAGTGTGACCTGTTTAATTGTACATGCTTATTTCCTTTATTTTTATTAGTGCTGTCAAATGATTAATCGCGATTAATCGCATCCAAAATAAAAGTTTTTGTTTACATAATATATGTGTGTGTACTGTGTATATTTATTATGTATATATAAATATACACACATGCATGTGTATATTTCAGAAAAATATGTTATGATTATATATTTATTTATAATATAAATATAGACATGTAAATACATGTAAATATTTTCAAAATATATAATGTATGTATGTGTATTTATATATACATAATAAATATACACAGAACACACACATATATTATGCAAACAAAAACTTTTATTTTGGATGCGATTAATCGTTTGACAGCACTAATTTTTATATTTAGATTAACCTTTGCTGTCATCTAATGCTGACTTAAAGTTAATTTTTAAAAGCACTAATAATGTAATAACGTGTTACAATGTTATGATGCCTAAATTCTTGCAGCGTTAAAAAAAAATTTTTTGTTGTTTTCTTTTTTTTCATGGAAGAGAATTTTAATATTATCTATTTATTGATTATCAACCTTAACAAAATTTTAACAATTTTACTATCGGCTGTTTTTTTAATTAATAATACACCACACTAAAGAGCTGAATTACTATTTTTAGTTAAAAAGTGTAATTCATCACTCATATTTACTAATACTTGCCATTGTATCTGCAGCCTTCTCGATATGTTCTGGAAGTAATAAAGAAGGTTCGGTCCAGGTAAGAGCTCTTCCTCAACCCAGTCAAAAGCATTCGAACTCATACATTTTCCCATCTGTTATGTACCGTTATGTTTTATGGGTCAGTCTGATTCTCAGCTCTGTTTTTCTCTTCAGTGAGCTGGAAGTGTCTCTACTGGTGCTGCCGTTTCCGTATGTCTCGGATCTGCTGAAGCTCTTCAATGGTTACGTGCAGCAGGGCCTGGAGGTGGAGCTAGTGTGCCGCTGCCTCTTCTTCCTGCTCAGGTACTCATCTGTAGCTACTGCTTTAACATATTACAGTTTCATGTTGATTTATGTTCATTTTACCATTTTGTTATTAAATTACGCTTTTATTTGCATTGAGGGGATTATTTGATTTGCTCCAGACTAACAGTCCTATCATTTATCATTTTCCTAGAGTTCATTTTGGTCAGATCACCAGTAATCAAATGCTACTGTCAGTCATTGACGAGTTAAGGACCAACACAATCGCTAAAGTGCGAGAGATCAGGGTGAGTTCTAGAAACAGGATGGATTTAACCACCGTGATCACACCTCTCATATGATCAGATTGTGTAAGCCTGTGTGTTCTCATCTACCCGTGTTTTCAGGATGTCCTGGGTTTCAACAGCGCCGGTCTGCAGTTCCTGCAGCGTGAGATTGAGAGCAAAGAGGACGTAATGTTCTTTGCTGATGCCACAGACCGCTTTGAAGAGAAAAAGAGAAAGAGAAAGAAACGTGAAAGAGCCGTCCTTACAATCACATGAAACTGACGTGCTTGTCAACTGTTATAACAAACTCCATTGCTTTGTGCTTTTACAATCCTGAAGAAGCATCATGCTGATGTTTTTATAAGTTGATGTGTCATTTGTACCTGTCTAAAGTCCATAAAGGTAAATTTCTCCACAAATCAACTTACTGAAGCTACTTTGTTCTTTATAATATTAAAGTGTGTGTGTGTGTGTGTGTGTGTTTGAATAGAGATTCCAAGCTGCAAAAAAAACCCTATTTGTCATTATTTTTTTAAAATCAAGACTAAAAAAAAAAACACTTTCTATGAAACCATGTTAAGTAAATCTAGACTGTTTTAAGGAATTTTACCCCCCAAAAAAGATTTTTTCAATGTCATTTTTTTTAATGTAAGGACAAAATTTAGGCTTCCTGGCAGGTTAATGCAAGTGCTGCTACTGGCAAAAGTGAAGCAGCAGCACCACCAAGGAAAAGCAGTGCTGTTTTATAATGAAATATTTCATGCACATAATATGATGTCCTGGCATTGAACCACAAATAAATCACGACAATCTTATGTGAATGCAATGGTTGGATATAGAGAAGTTAAGATTGAATTAGGGTAATCTGGGACATTTTTGGCACTTATTTGATTGTGAAAGAGAGAAATGTATGCATCAGATTCAGATCTTTGGTTCCCCACATTACCCAATGTCCCAGATTAACCTCAATCATCCAACATTAATGCCCATATGTTTTCTGTTATGCTTAATTCTGTGGAAAAGATGAAGTGAGTCATCAAAACAGATTCTCAATCTCACTGAAGTGAAATAATTAAATTAGTTCAATCTTTCTGTATGGCTGAAGCTGTGGTGACCTGGTGGGAGATCCACACTGATTTTACTGAGCTCATAACCTGGATTAAATTTACAGTTACAAGCCCATATGTAGGTGGGATTCATAATACACCACCTGGAAACTGATGCTGCTCATTTCAGCGACATATTTCACTCCTAGTTAGTGCTCCTCACTCCCCCTCGATTCTCACCCACCTCTCACACCTCACGTTCCTGCTGTGTGTTAACATCCTAATCATCAGTGTCTTGGAAATAATGAAACAAATCCCTCAAGACGCCCCTTTTCAGACCTGTTCAATCTAACAGTAATGAAAAAAGCAAATGAAGTGTATATTTATAAAGCCGTAAAAAGGCTTGCAGCATTTTATGAGACCGGTCTGGGTCTCAAAGCTATAAATGTCACACCTACCACCAATATTAAAAATTCCTCAGAAAAAGGTTGAAGTTAAACGCCTGAGAACACGTTCTGTGTTAATCCCCCTCGAACAGGATGAACTAATCAAACACAACCCTGTTTTTATGGAAAAGCACATGAATTTAAACATAGCTACCACTGATAATGACTGTAGATTCAGTTTGGTGGAGACATCAGGCCTTCTCTCAGATGTATGAACCTATAACCTTTTAACCTCCTGCTTTAGTTGTAAACAGAAGAAAATAATAGTGGTCTTGGTCTAAACCAATTTCAAAAACTATACAGTTGAGTCCAGAAATAATTTTGTTTTATATTGTGGCTGATATTTTTCATAGCAATAACAGAGCACTCATAACATGCACAGCATACAGAGTGTGCATGAAATGTTCCTGACATCTCCACGGTTCCCCAACGCTTGAGTCATCGGGCAGATTTACTGATCTACTGCCCGCTTTTCACCTCATAACATATTTCCCCCCTTTATTACTTTGACTGGCCATCAGTGATTGTGTCACTTCTTAATAAAAATAATGACTGTAAAATGAGTGGGTGACTTTGTTTTGAGTTATTTTGATGTACAGGAATGTGTCTCTTGATTTATCGCTATATCTCTTTTTATTTAAACATTACTTATTACACAACACATATAAACAATAACAAAGTACAAAAACATTGGCACAAACCTTGGCATTTGACATTGGACAATAACGCAGGGCAACATACTGTATAGAGCATATCCACAGTAGGATTGAAAACTGCATTTAGTGAAGAGGGGAAAAAAGTAGGAAAATATTTAATTAATTAATTCTGTTTAATTAAATATCCCAAATAGAATTAAAAAAAAATTAATGAATAAATAAGACCAATCTCAAACAACAACAACAACAACAAAAAACATCTATTTATTTATTTTTCCTTCACTGCCAGGCTTTTGCTGTTGGGGGGTGGGGGTGAGGGTGGAGAGTTCAATTAAGATATGTATACAATGTGTAAATTGTATAAATTCAACAAATATATATTATTTAGTTACATAGTTTACTTTTTAAGTAACGTTTAAACATGCTTTGTTTAATTATATGTGAGCACTGGGCTTAATGCATTAGTAAATGCATTAGTCATGTGGAATGACCACTGGGTGGCACCATTGCTTTTCCAAAACGTTTTCTGAGCTTTTAGTGACCGTCCAATTTAATGTTTTCTCACAAATCTCAAGATCAGCGATTTTTTATTTTATTTAAATTTTACATTTGATGTTTGCGCTCAATTCTGTTCGCAAATTTGTAAGTAGCCTACCTGAAAACATTTCTGAATGTAAAAAGATATAGATAACCACAAATCTTGATATCAGCCACCATCCATTTTGCTACAGCGATTTGTATGCTACAGATACTTTCTCTCTCATTTTTTTAACCTGTATTTCTACCTTGCTCGCATTTTCATTCCCTCACCTTCTTTATTTTTTGGTTTGTTCTATCAGTTCCAGCTGGCAACCACATTTCACTGTTGAAAGTCAATTCAAACAGTCACCAGTGAATTCACTCCCACCATGAAAATGATTTCAAGCAATAACAGATGACCTGTGGTCCAGTCTGTTTACTTTTAAATTGAGATAAAACAACCAAGGCCAAATCTCAGAATGTAATTTCTGTCAGACGGTCCCGTTCTCTTGTCTGAGCAACTACACATTGATTCACCAAAGGCGTGGAGAGCGAAGAGCCTTTGAAAGCGCCCCATTGCTATGTGAACCACATTACAACCATGAACCCACACACAGAGAGAGACATTTTTAAGAGCTCTCCCCAGAAATCCACACAGCTGATGTAATTAGTCATTTCAGAGTCATGCACTTCATAATATTCCCTATAAACAGACATTCAATCCTTCCCTCAGTGTTCACTGTTTATTCTAGTCTTTTACAATCCGTTCTGGACCACACGTCGGTTTATCCGTCCCCAACAATAATGCTCCTATACTGCGACGGAGGAATGCAGTTCATTTGTCCAATTAAACAAGGAAAATAAATAAAAATCGATTATGGACACAATGTCGAGATTTGTTCCCAAAACTACGGTGACCCAGTAGTGCACAACACAACGCAATTAAAAAAGCAAACATAAGACACATACAAAACACTTTTACAACAACACACAACTTTTAGATTTACGATGCAAATATAGCAGGGGTGATGAATGAAAAAGGTCCTTGACATGTTTTTCAAAGGTTTGATCTACATCATCTAAACATATCTGGACATAAATCTGTATTACAAGCAAAGTGACCTTCCGTGTGTCAACAAAAGTTTTCCATCCCATACATTAACAGGTTAACATATTGACAATGATTGCTGCTTTGCTAAAAAAAAAAAAAAAATTAGGTGTTCATGTGATTGTGTGCTTTCAAAAGAAAAATATACAAAAAGAAGCATAGGCTACTAGGAAATTATAGTAATAGCTTATTTAAGTCAAGTACACACTATAAATGTCAATCTTATTCAAATATTCAGGAGTAGCTGGGGTTATTCAAAGGAAGCTAAAGTGATCTGGATGGAAGTAAACGTTGTTTCAGATATAACTGCACAAACTGAAACGTGGTGAAAAAGAACCCCGACTTTCTTCCCACGTTCCTAACTAATTCCTATTATAAAATGGTTGAACGCAACCAGTCGGTCACACCCATGTGTTATTCACCCGTTGTGCCTGCTTTGGCTTTTAAGACATGTCTACAGAAAATTTATAGTTTTCTTCTACATTTTTGAAGTATAGCAAAAAGGAGATAGGGGCTAGTTGCCACACAGGAAGTTGTCACAAAGGCTATAAAATTTTGGTTTAGAGTCCAATTGCACAAATGTGTTGTTTTTTTAGCAGTGAGTTTTATATGTTGGTTTCTATTTCAAAACCCTTTAATACAATTAGCTTTAAAATTATTATTACTACAACTGGCCAAAACAGCAATCAATAATCTTTTTGTATTCAGCCTTCTAGTTTTTGTCTTTATTGTTTTGTGTATCAGAATCGTTGTACTGTTTAAATTGAGCTAAAATGCCTATAATACAACACATCTCAACAAGGGGCCTCAGGATACTTCCAAGGGGGAATCAAAGTTCTTTAAAATAAGACAAAGTATGCACTGAAATAAGCCCAGAAAACTGTTTTCGGATTTTTTAAATTTATTTTTTTGCCATTATTCAGTCGTTTAAAAAGTCTATCAATAAGCATTGTAATAAAAAGGTGAACTCTATGGAAAGGTCAGGTAAATTATTAAAATCATAACACTCACATTTATAATGAATATACATTTTTCTAGTTATACAAAGCTTTATAATATTTGATCAGGTAGAAATTATGAGAAAAAATATTTTTAAACATTCTTATCCCAAATCCTCATCCAGTAAATCACAAACAGTGCTATAATAGCTTACTTAATTGTAGTTTCCAGTAAAAAAAAAAAAACAACAACAGTTCAATGGCTTTTTTTGTAGCAAAGACTTTTTGTTTGTGTCAATACAGATATTACCCCTCAGAAATAAACCTACCATGAGAAATATTCACTGCAGTACAAAGTGTGACAACAAGCCCCGGTCTTCCCTGCATATTATTGTGTTCAGCTGTCTGGCAACAGGTGTGGGCAAGAAAATCCAACTTCCGTGATTTCGAGCAGAGGATCAGTGGCGATGATGGGATCTCCTATCCTAGGGATCTCTTTGTTTTGTCCACTGATCTGTTTGGATTTTGGATGCTGTTTCTCTCAGTTGGAAACAGATGTAATTATCTCCAATTAATGCATGTTTGTAAAGGTCACCAGGGTCTGGTATGTAAACATCCCTGCATGATGGACATCTAAGACAACCTGACAGTGTGTGCAAGGACAAGAGCAATCACAGCTAAGAATCTGTGTTTAGATCGGTGTATTTGTAAGGTTCAAATCAGTTGGACTGTGAAAGCCTTCAAAGACGGTCTGTAAAGTTCCTTTGGCATCGAGACTATGTCCTGTGAAGAATTGAAAGTAAACCAAGTCAAAAATGAGCCGTAAAAAGCGAATTATACACCAAAAAAGTCAGTGAAAGGTTGTATTCATTAGAGACTATATGGTTTTTCTTTTTACTGGGAACATGTGGACTCGGAGCCCCACATGTCAGAAGTGCCTTCGGGGATGCAGTATTCATGCCTGACATGGGTATGGTCAATCCCTTTAAGGTTTACTTCTTTTGCTTTTTTTAAAGGAGGAGGACAAAATAAAAATGTCTTGAAGGCATGCAAGCTGTCATAACCATCCTTCCCCCCACGCTAGCACCGCAAAGACCACCCAGACCGCAGAGCGACCTGTCAATCATCAAACATATGCGTTCATTTTTATAGACTAAGCAGTAATACTTTCTCAAATTAGCACTAAAGATTCCACATTTCTGATGTGAAGGTTACCAAGAGATATAAACACATCAGCTCGCCTAAAATGTTTAATTTTTCTCAAAATTCATTCACCGC